TAGCAGACATCAAGCCTCAGAAGAGAAGTCGTTGTAACTGACACTTGAGTTCCTGGTACACAAATAACGAATCCTTTTAGTTTTTTCCGAGTCGTGCAGTATGCATCATCACATGAATATGTTTCTTATCAATCTTAAACATAAAACACTAGTTATGCAACGAAGTTCCCATATCGGCACATTTTTAGCAAACTGGATGGTCCCACCTGTTACACTTTTAGCTTTGGAAGCAAACCAATTCACTATACCACCAGCGGCATACATCGTGCCAAGCATTAGTGCCGCATGTGGCAGCAAAATGTTTTAACTAGGGAAGCAAAGCTAATCGATCCTGTTGATTAAAGCATCTAGATACGGGAGAAATTATTAATAAAGAAAGAGGTCACTCGAAAGGGAAGTTTTCTCGCTAAAAAACACAACTTTTTATTGGAAGTTACGCAATGTAAGGCCGAAGACATTCACTCCGTAATCGGTACAGAAGCATTTGCTTAGTAGTCGGTCGTGCATGATAAAATCAAAGGTGGATTAGAAACGCGATAGATTCGCCCTTGCACTGAGTACTTACACTTAAAATCGTTTCAACATAAAGCTACTACGGCCCACCTTGCTAGCAGCACTCTTAAAATTTATCCGTGTAGTCGTCACACCCACAAACCGAAAGCGTTGCTGCAAGTCCCTCCGCCGTCAACTTTGAGTCGCTGGTGAGCCTGAAGAACTGCTCTATAAGGCCCATATCCAGCCACTGTGCACACACACAAGCACAGGAAATAACACTTGGTTCGAAGTACAAGTGAAGAACCTGGGGCGGCAAGCCCTGAATGCCAAACAAGCAGCGTCGGGTGACGGCGATTGACTCCGTAGTACACAGGTTGCGCTCCTTCGATGCCTGCAGGTGGTCGTCGCTAGTCATAGCAGATCATGTCACCGGTGTCACCTCTGTTGCTCGTACCGGAACACCAGAGCCGCGTAATATTCTTGCTGCCGAAGTTTATAAGCCTACGGTCGCGCCCAACACGCTTTACACAACTCCAACGCCCAGCAAGCCTATCCCCCTCTTTCTCTTTCGGAGACCGGCTGCCAAGGCGGTGACACCGTTGCTGAAACTCCTCAATAAGGAAGGGTTGGACAAGAGCTTTTTCCGAATTTTTGTTTTTAAGCATGTTCTATAAATTAAATACTTTTCAGAATGCACTTCTTTAAGATTGACTGTGCAGTGTGAAATACACACTTTCCTCAATAATATTAGATGAGAAAAATATGAAATGCGTAGCAATATTTGATTGTTAATTATCTAATTAACTAATCTAGCTATGACTGAAATAGTTCGCTCTAAAGTGTCCGGGCACGAACTAAATATGTTCCCAATGTCACGTTTGAATCTTTGTTTTTACATTTCTTTTTATAAATTAGAAACCGTTTTGTAGCTATTCAAGATGGCCGCCGTGGGATTGGGGCCTTAACGTGCATCATGCAGTAGTGATACGGGAATGCGTGCCAGTACGATGCTCCTCCAGGTTGAAAAGGGCAGGAGTGGGGATCGAACCCAGGATCCCTAGGTTCTACAGCGTGAGCTTTCGCTCCACGTGCTGAGAGCTGAGATGTGATAGCCCACTTGGCCACCGATATCCCCCTACAAATTTGAGCTTCGGCCCAACACTGTCTTTATTTGTTTGGAATGTTGTTCCAACCAGCCGAGGCCAGTGCACTACTATACGCTGTTTAACCCTTTTAAGACGGGTTTTTGTTTTCTAAAAATTGACTAAAAATCCTGGAATTTTTTACTTCTGCAAGTGGTTCAGATAGGTGTGTCACAGTGTGACAAACCTATCCATGTGTCAAATTTTCGTGAAAAGGCATGGTTTATTATTAGTATTGCAGAATAACCAAAGGTGGGCTTCACTGCACATACATTTTTCTAACACACGTTTTTCGCCACAGAAAAATGTGCATCACAAAACAGGGAATCAAAACTCTCACAGTTTTCCACAAAAATACGTGGCTTCTGTGTAAGAAAGAAACAATGGTCATAGAGCTTCATAGAAAATTACAAGTCTGTGCTTGTGTGAAACATGCGGAAACACGGTATTGCGCACAAGGCTACGCTGCAGTCGGGGCACCATGTCCTTGTTTCTTTCCAAGATGACTTTGTCTTTGTGCAAACGACATGCCATCTTGTCGGGTTCGTCTGGCTCCTCGAATGCATATTACTCAAGACCCCACTGCCTGGGCACAGAGGAAAGTGCTCAGCTTTCAGTTCTGCCACAACTGACATCGAAGCATTCCAGAACTCTACAAATGCCTGCAACTTTGCTCTCTTTAGCTACAGAGTCAGGAAAGTACATCTCATTGGCAGTACCCTGGACAGCTGATGCAGGCACTAGGTGGATTGTCTCCAACTTCATAAAAAACAAGGCCAGATGTGTTGTTTCTAATGATGCCTCACCAGGGCCCTCACGAGATGTGTTTGCCTGCTCAGCGCTGTGCACAGATGAGAGACTCGCTGTTCTCCATGTCAGTTCCAGGTTGTGCACTATCAATATATCACAATCATGTTGACTGTGTGACAATGGGGGTCCCTCCTGGTGGCTATGACACCGACTCATGTGCGCCGAGAATGTATTCAAGTTCTGGAACTGCCTTCTGCAGCTTTCCGTGAAGCAACTTGTCTTGAGGCCTGAACTGATGTGGCCTTTGATATGTTTGGTCATTTTCAGTCTGCTCCAAGCCTTTTGTGAGCAGAATGCATGAAGGCAAACATATTCTCTCCCGTCGTGATGAAATTTCTACCCACTGTGACATTCATTTCTGCCCACTGTGACTGTGACATGAGCAGAAAGACCTGCTACACCATTCTTTCAAGCTGGACAACCTTAGGTTGTGACTTCTTGAATGAAGCCTATAGTGTCTCTCGTACTGGTACAAGATTTTCTGTCACAGCTTGCACAGATAGCAGCTGTACATGATGCAGTTTCAATGATGTTAAATTCTGGCCTGAAATGGGAGTTTTTGAAATAAGAACATTGCAGGTGAATACTGGCATAATGTTGTGCTTATGTAACTGGCAGCAGGGCTTCATAAAGTATCAAATGTCCAGAAAAGGCAAATTTCTATGCTGAAAGTGTATGTTAAATGTGTTCATTTGACACCATGGTTTAATTGACCCAGCTTTTCATTAGTTAACTATCCAAAAATAGCAAACTTTTTAACAAATCTGTGTTACATTTAGATTGTAAAACAGGTGTCCCACTGTACAAGCTTTTTTGATGTCTGGGCTTGTTTCAGTTCCACCAATTAGCTAAAAATGCCTAATCTTACAATGAAAACATGAGGGGAACTGCCTGCTATATATGAAGACAATAAACAATATCTGTGGAACAGGGTGTCGAACCGGAACCGAACCGAAAACCGGAACCGAACCGGTATTTTTTCCGGAACTGAACCCGAACCCGAACCATTATATTGTTACCGCGATGAACCGGAACTGAACCGGAAAAAAAAAAACGTTTACCGGCTCATGTCAAAACGGTTCGGCCACGCGCTGTTGACAATGAATGTGCTATCAATGCCATTTGTTTTTTAAGTGCCGTCAACTGACACACACCTCGCTTACGTATTTTTCTTCTCCACTCAGTCTTAGGAATATAAACGCTGCATCCATGAATCTTGACAAACGCTGCATCCATGAATCTTGACATAGGAACCAGTATTGCGCTGGTCGCGGCTTGCACGGAAAAAACAAAATTGGAAGGCTATGCAAAAAAAAAAAAAAAAAAATCGCTTCACGGGATTTTATTTTCCTACAATCTTGAAATCCTAAATGCTGCTGTGTGCTCATTTCATAACACGTTTCTAGAACACGCGAGTTCTTGAAGCTTGCTTCCATCGGTATGAGAAAAGAAAAGGCTGTGGAGTTTGATAATAATGCATCCGGTTTCGTATAGGCACTTAGAAGCTAACATATTTGTGAGACAGCGAACTCTTCTATTTTTATATTTATCCTATTATGTCCTTCTGGCGTTGCGTTCGGTGAAGTGTTTTTCATATTCCGTATCTTGTTTAATGAAAACTTCTTTAAGGGTCTAATTTGAGTTACCGAAGGCTAGTTCAAATAAAGAAAGCTGTATTTTCTCCCCACCGTTCCTTCAATTGCTTACACGCCGAGGTGGCGGGATAGTTAGCGAGTTCTACTTGTAAGTGGGTTTGTAAGGAGGTCACGGATTTTACACCAACTGCGTCGGACCCAATTAGATGAAGTCCGAATGTGTAAACGTCGGTGAGGTAACCTTTGAGTGCACATAAAGAAACCATTCCTGGTAGGAATCCCTGAGCCTTACACTATGATGTATCCCGTTTCGTATGTGCTGATTTCAGATGTTTTATTTGTACTTTATTTTGATGTTGCAATTTGTCATTTATAATTTCCAAACCGATTCGCGAACCAGTTCAACGCCTCGAACCGGTTCGCGAATCGAATTAATCGAACCGGAACTGAACCGGAACAAAATAAATTTACCTGAACCTGAACCGCAATCGAACCCGTATTTTTTTCGGTTCGACACACTGCTGTGGAAAAAGTATTTTTCTATCCAACATTTCACCAGTTCAAATATGCGCAGACTGCAAAAGCAACTTGCATAAAATTCAGATTTGTTGCGTTTACCGTAACGGCTGTAATTGATGTTTACAGTTGTTAAAGTTGTCTTTTGTTCAGACTGATCCCTACGTAAGCTAATGAGTTCACGACAGGCCAATCAGAATCCAAGGTGCCCTACTATGATCAGCTCGTACGTCAGCAATGTCCCCATACCTACGCGCTAGTCGCAGCAGACAGAAACAAGCACAGCACAAAATTTTACAAGCCCGAAATGAGACAGCGCTGCGACAGGCCGGCCAAAGGCGCATAGCTGAATCCTAGGAGCTGAAATCCGCACGCTTAGCATGCTAGCGTCAAAAAATTGCTCACCGGTCGGCAGCACCAATCACTGATGTGCTGGGGCCTGGGCTGGCGGGGAGGCCAGGAGTCCGGTGATCGGTGGAAGCAAATCGAAACTTTGTCTCGGATTTGGTTACATGTATCGGTGGTTTTGTTAACCGGCGTAAAAGTTCGCTAACACCCTTGCCCATGAACTTTACGGCAGTTTTGCGGTATGACTGGCATTTTTTTACCAGTTTAAAGTTTACCAGGGACAGTCCAATCAAGAATACACATATGGGCTTGGAGGCGACACTGTCCTCAGCATGTGCAGTGAAGTGCCATCCGATGAAGGTTTCAAAGTGTCAGCTGACAACTTTTTTAGCAGCTTGGATCTTGTGGAAGAACTCACTGGAAGAGGCATCCAATTTGTTGGAACGTTGCACCAAAACAGACTCGGAGATTGCAAACTTTTGGATGAAAAAAACTTTGAAAAAGCATGGCGAAGGCGCACATGACCATAGAGTGGATAATGCGAAATGCCTTGCTGTTGTTCGTTCGTTTGACAGAAAAGCCGTGACACTTGTGTCAAACTTTGTGTCGGGTAAAAAGGTATGACTGTAAAGCCAAGGTGCACATTGATGTCCCCCAGCCGGATATCATGGCTGTTTACAACAGTTTTTTGGGAGGTATTGACCAGCACAACTACCAAGTATCACTGTACAAGTACATTATCAGGTCTAGGCGCTGGTATTTATACATATTTTACCGTACCATCCACATCTGTGTTGTAAGTGGATTGAATATCCACAGGTGCCAATGTGCACAGCTTAACACAAAGCCAATGAAACTAAGAACATTCATTGCAATGTTGTCTGAAAGCTTGATGCTCTCAGGGAAAGCTCCAAAGGGGCGGCCGGCATGCTTGCCATCACCTCTAGCGAAGAAAAGGAAAGTTGCGCCAAAAGAGCTGCAAGACGACATCCAAAAGGGTGGTGTTGGGCACCTACCACTTGTCACCAGCAACAGGCTACGATGCAAGAACTGTGTACCAAGTGCAAACAGATTCAGCTCCATCATCTGTGCGAAATGTGAAATCGCCCTGTGCCTCACCAAGGACAGAAACTGCTTCTATGAGCACCACAAGCCATGAGCCTATGGCTGTGCACTTATGCCTGAAGAGAGCCCACTGTATCATATGTGATACGCTAAATATTTTATTAATTGGAAGTTAGTGCTTCATGATTTCAGTATGAATATATTCTGTTCGAGGTTAGAAGGAAATAAACATGTTCTCGTGTTTTTTTTTCGAAGTCCTTGTGCTACTGGGCTTTACAGGGTTAAAAGAGCTGCACGCTGGCAATTAGCCCTTTGATGCTCGAGCACACTCATCTATGGAAGTAATCAAGTGGATTATACATACTTTCAGACGATGTTGATGGCAATTGTACTGCAGGCCTCGCTTGCGACCACGAAAGGACAGAGGGATGCATAGCCAGACAGAGCCCAGCTGTTTGTCTGGGAAAAAAAAGGGAAACATTAGGCATGTGCAGTAATTACCACAAAAAAGGGTATGTGGATTAGCCATCTACATGTTATGATTGTTACTGATTTGGCTTCAAATGGCACTGCTCTAGCACGATTCACAAGGAAGTTACAGCTCCGCAGAAAGTCAACCAACACCACCGTAGACCGCTGAAGTGCAGAACTTCTTTCTGGCCTGAAATACACATGCTTTGGAATATTGTTCAATTTAAAAGAGCTGCACGCTGGCATTTAGCCCTTTGATATTTGAGCACACTCCTCTATGGCTGTAGTCAAGTGGTGTATACATACCTTCAGACGATGGTGATGGTGATGGCAATTGCGGTGCAGGCTTCGCTTGCGACCATGACAGGGTAGAGGGACACAGAGCCATAAAGAGCACTTCTGTAGATCTGGGGAAACGGAAAAAAATTAGGCACGCAAAATAATTTCCAGGGAGGAGGGTACGAATGCCTTTTTATTGTTAAATTACCACCTGCCTGTTATGGATTTTAATGACTTGGCTCCAACTGTCGGTTCCTGAACATGATTGACAGGGAAGTTATTGCTCCGAAGAGAGTGAACACTGATGGCAGGGTTCATTTAACTTTCTAGCGTAAGCAACAAATGCTTTAAAGTGCCGTATTTTCCGGTCTAAAAACCCTAGGGACCAATTTTGTAGCTTTGATAGGTGAAACCCCAGGATTCCACACAGTATTGAAAGTGAGTGTGAAAGATGCTAAAATATATCAGCTTAAGCGCTTTACTATCAAAGTATTGACGTGTTTTGACTAGGGCGTATATAGAATATCCTAGTTTTTTTTACACAATTCTTCTGTATGCAGCTTCCAATTGAAGCACGAGTCAAGTATCACTCCAAGATATTTAATACTTTCAACCCTTTGAATATGTTTATTTCTTATTTTAATATCACTCAACCCAGCTGAAATATCCTTAGAGGGCGACGAGAACACGGTGTATTTTGTCTTTTGTAAATTGAGAGCTAATTTATTGTCCAGGAACCATCCCTCTATTTGCTTAAGTTTGTGTGTCATTTCAGACTGAATTAATTCTAGCGGGTTTCCAGAGACTAATGTAGCAGTATCATCTGCATACATAATCGTTTGCAGTTTGGTCGTAACATTAGCTAGGTAATTTATGTCAATAGAGAAAAGGATTGGTCCTAGCTCTGAACCTTGCGGGACTCCTGTCAACACAAACTGACTAGTTGAGAATTGCTTCTTTATACCAACGACCTGAGATCGAGACGATAAATAACTCTTAAAGAAGTCAAGTGAAAAGCCTCGAAAGCCATATTTTCGTAATTTCTCTGAGTATGCCATGATCTACAGTATCAAAAGCTTTTTATATGTCTAAGAATAGGCCGACTGCAATTTTATTGCTGTTTAGTGCGTTGTTAATGAATTGACTAATTGTTAAAACCACTGTGTCTGTCGATTTGCCTTTTCGAAAACCATGTTGGTTATCAGATAAAATATCATATTTAGTTAGAAAGCCAATTACCCTTGTGGCTACAAGTTTTTCAAACAGAGTGTTTATACAGCTTAGGACTAATATTGATTTGTAGTTTGAAAATTGGTTGACGTCGCCATTCTTATAAATCGGTAACTCTTGCTATTTTTAGTAGTTCCCGGTAGGGTACCATTGTAAAACCCTTGATTGTATTTCTTTTCCAACGGTATGCTAAGAATATCGATGTTGTCTTTGATTATGTTTACGGAAATATCATCATATCCAGGAGTCTTGTCCCATGTCATTGTTTTTATCATTGACATAATTTCTTCTCGTGTAATGTCTTTATGGCTAAATGTGTTACTAAGAAACTCTGGAAGTTGGTTTGTGATTGGTTCTTCGAGTTTTAGCCAGTTCCTTACCAATTTTGCAAAAATATTGATTAAACTTCTCTGTGAGGGCGTTATCATTATGGCACCCAGTAGCCTCCAGTTCTGGCAGTACCATTTTTTTTTAGGTTTAATAATAGAATTTATAATTGACCACATTTTCTTTGTGTCTTTCTCACATTTCTGTATCTGTAAAAGATACAGAAATGTATCTTTTACAGATAATACTTTACAGATAAGTAAAAAGATAGATTACAGATAAGTAAAAATAGTACTGTATTACAGTAGTACTTTTTTTTCCTTCGTCGAATGAGAGTTGTTACCATATTTCTTTATATTTTAAATTGGCCAATATAATATGTATGATTTCTATGTTGCTTCATCTTCCTATACCAATAGTCTTTAATTTTTGTTATTTCCAATATTTTATACGTCATCCATGGGCAGATTGGTTTTCTGGTAACCCGGCCCTTGGTTCAAAGTCAGTTATGCATTGAGGGAGTATATTATGAAAACAACGATAGTTTGTGGCCACATCAGTATCAGTCGTGCCATTCAAATTTGCAGTGACTAATAGTTTCCAGAGAGTCTTATAATTTAGCTTTTTATACTACAGCTTAACTCGTTATTGAGACTTTGGCGTACTGGTTCCAAGGTCAAAAGAACTATAGGTGAATGGTCAGTCTAATATACATCTAAAACGCCGTGCATGCTACCTTCTGTGTTAAAGTTATATAATATATGATCAAGAGCTGAAGCTGAATCAGCACCAAACCTAGTTGGACTGTTTATAAGGTTTATGAAATTAAATGACTGTAGCAAGAATAAATATTCATTATGTATTGTCTTTAGTATATCTATGTTAAAATCACCAGAAATTATTACATGATCTTTTCGTGCCGTCATTTGTGAAAAAATATCTTCTAGTTTTTCAAGAAAAGAACCTAGACATGAACCTGGAGCTTGATATACTACTCCGACTATAATGTCCAAAATTTTGACGAAAAGAATCTTATATTCACCACTTAATGTACAAGTATACCTCTTGTAGTTGTTGGTCTTGGTAATGATATTAGTTGGTAGCCAGGAAATTCCATGTTTCCGATAGAGCTACAACATTGTACGGAAACACATGTTCACAGAGTAATGCACATAAAGCATCCACATTTTTGTTCAGACTATGTATATTGCAATGCAATAATGAAAATAATCCATCTTTATAAACTTGATTAATTTCTTGAATAGAAACCATATGTTATGTCTTGCTTTAGACAACGTTTTCAACTTTATACAATCAGGGCCAGATACAGTCTCTGAGGGCACGAGAGTCAAATTCGAAATGGAGCGGACAGACTTCAATTCGACCTTCAGCTGCCCGATATGCTTCTGTCCGAGCATCAATATTGTTTTTGGAAGCTGCCGGCACTACGTCTGCAGCCAGTGCTTGTACGACGACGTGGACGACAGTCTCAGATCCACCTTGTTGAAGTGCCCCATCTGCAAATGGCCGAACGCGTTCCTCCCGTCAAGGCCGGTCGTCCCCGAGTCCACTAGACAGTTGATGCGGTTGGCTGGGCTTGTGAAGTGCAAACACAAGAGATGTGGACATGGGAACAAGAACAGCATGAGACGGTGTGCCCCACCCCGGCCACATGGAGATGCAGCAGCGCTGGTCGTGGAGCGTATGGCATGGGACGTCGCCTTCGCGGACGCCATTCGGGCGGCCCTCGTCCGGGCCCCGGGGGCCATTGCAGATGACATGAATCGTGATTCAACACATACTAAGAAGCACTGTTTCATTTTTCTGGAGAGAGAGATGTCTGACAAATGCAGTTATCGATTTTATTTTTCAAATATGAGACTCGGGTGTAACATTAATATTTGTGCCTGTTTTCAAATTTTGTACCAGGAACAACTGATAACGAAAACAATGATGAGCATGCTTACTTCGAGCCTTCATGATCATATCTCTGGGCGCGATGCCGATAAAGCACACTCTTAGGCTAAACCTAAACCAAAAACTGTTAGCAAGTTCAGGGCCAGTTCAGCCCCGAGTGAGCGTCCTTTCCTCAAGGCAGAACAGAATCTCGTGGAGCGCACATAGCGCCCCCAACCAGCGCCATCTCGGCCACGCGCTTTTAGTAGGTCTTTTATATTGAAGGAGACTGAACCTACTGCTGTTATAATTTAATTAGGAGCATGATTTATAGTTCATGTAAAATATATTTACTAAACATGCATCACTGTTTATCCTGCTCCTTCTCCAAGTGCTGCTATCCAGCTAATGACAGCAGTTGTCCATGGGGTGAACCATGGACAACTGCTGTCATTAGTACTCGGATCGGCAGAGCCACCTACTAGCTGTGGAGCCCAGTTGCCAGGCAGCAGATACTCGACCAGCAACCAGCCTTTGTCGCTCTAGTGGGACTCGCGCAGTATGCCCGAGTCCCACTAGAACGACAAACAGAAACAAACGACACGGACAAGCCTCCAACCCATTCAGCATGCCCGTGATGGTACCTTTGGCAGGCATTTATTTGTTCGGTGCTCGTGAAATGAGCATGAGTGATTGTAAGCCTGCCAAAGATACCCTCGCGTGCATGATGCTTGCATTTAAGCATAGCCTCCTTTATTCTACAAAGCCTGTCAAATCGCGAAAGACTCAGGTTTGAGACTTGTCGTCATTTGTTTCTGTTTGTCGCTGTAGTGGGACTCGGGCATAAGCTAGCACCATGTACTGAACATGAAATAAAAAACCACTGTATCAAATTTGACTTGATTTTGCAGCTTCATTTGCATGCCAGCCGCACAATAAATACAGCAGCTCGCACATGTTTTCAACTTTCATTCTATTGTTTAAGTATTCTGAGAAAATTACTGACCAGCTTTATTAATCGTGGGTCACTAAATCCGGAACAAAGTGGCAGCCAGTTTTTTTCTGCACACAGCACCAAAAATTGGAGATGTTTGACTACCGTAATATCCCGAGTCATCGCCCACCCCCCAACCGCCTGAAATTCGTTAAAAAAGTGGGGTGGGCCATGTCTCGGTGGGTGAGCACAAACACTTGAAAAAAAGCGGAAAAAACCGCCTATTTTTCTCTGCGTATCTAGCCCTGATGCACAAGAGATACATCAAACTCAAAACTCGATTTAGTTTCATTGTTTTATAGAAAAGAAATGCTCACGAAAGAATATTTTACTATAGCGAAGTCCGTTGCTTGCATAGGCGCTAGAAACACCGCCGATCGTGAAAGAATGTCACCATTATGTTCTCCTAGTTAGTAGAAGAAAAAAAAAAGAAAGAAAAGTCTACAAGAAAATAGAAAAACCGACCAGGCGCAACGAGCGAGCGAGCGAGCGAGCGAGCGAGCGGACCAAAGAAGCGACCAAGAGCAATGCTGGGAAAGCGGGAAAGCCGGCGGTCGGGTTGGCAAATACTTTGGCCTCGGGCCAAGTCGGGCGCCTTGTCAATTGCAAGCTCTTGCGCAACTTTCTTGTTTGGTGCGTACATACGTGCGTCCGTGCACGGCGGGCTATCAATGCACGGTTGGGACGCTCTGCAAACGTCTGTGTAGGACGTTCCAGCAAAGCTTTATTTACGCTTTGGCTTTGCCTAAAATATTTCACAACCGCGGTCGCGACGGGCGGGAAGAAGGAGCGGGTTCGCGGTGACCTTCGGCGGAGACAGACTTTGACCTAACGCTCCGCGGTTACATTAACAAACTCTTATTTTGTTATCTCCATCGTTTTCTTTTCGCACGGATACACGACCAGTTTGGGGTCGCTCACGGAGGAAATGCGTAAACAAAAAGAAGTGTCTTTCCCTCCTTCGTTTTACTTTGTCACGGACGTCCTCCAACTGTAAGGTCCGCGGCCGCGTCATTCGGGTAGGATGAGTGTTCGCGGATCGCAGAGTCCGCGTGGGGTATTTGAAGGGGTGGGCGATGACTCGGTGTTTTTTCGGAAATCGATATTGGCCCAAAAAATGGGGTGGGCGATGGCTCGGGGATGGGCGATGACTCGGGATATTACGGTATATGCCACAAAAACATCCTTTGAATGACAGCATAGGCTTCCTAGGGAGAAGAAGTCTGTGAATTTCCCGTATAGCCAAGATTGAATGACCGGAGAACTCCCACCCTGGCCCACACTGCATTTACACAGTTTTGCCAAGCTTGACCTACCACTGAACTGCCAGTGTGGCCCAGGATGCATTTAGACCATTTTGCCAAGCTTGGCTGACCGCTGAACTGCCAGTCTGGCCCAGGCTTGTTTTACACCGTTTAGCCAAGCTTGGCTGTACAAGGAACCCCCACTGAACTGCCGGGCCGGCTAGCCAGGCTGGGGCTAGCTTGCCCCTTGGAGCAAAACGGTGCTTGGGCTGGGGAAACTTTCCCCGGCTGCCCAAGCGGGCTCAAGCTTGAACCGGTGAATTGTGCTGCTTGGGGATCAGCTTCGTTCATGATTTGTATCACACCAGCGTTTTCAGCCTTTCGCATTAGTATTTTTCCCTGAGATACCCACAAAAATTTCCAGTTGTTTCCCTTCTTTTGAGTTGCCTTCCCAAGCAGCACTTTGTTTTCTGGGCACAGTTGTTCGTTCACGTAGATTGGTACCGAGTGTTCAAATCCAAAATCTGACGTTGTCAGTCTGCGCTTTTTCGATGCCGCTAGAACCTTATCACGGATATTGTGGGAGATAAACCTAACAATCACATTAGGTCTTCTTTTGTCTTTCGTGGGAACACGGTGGATCACATCTATATCTGAGTCAGCAATCTGAGCTCCTATCTTCTCCCGATCTAAGTGATCATTGTGCTTAGGCGTTCTTCTGGTTTGTGTGGAATTCCTTTAATCTCCAAATTATTTCTTCAACTGTATTGTTTAATTTCAACAAGATTACGCTTCATGTCGTCGAGCTGCTTGTTAAGATCCTTGTTTTCTTTTTTCATTTGCTGCTGCTCAGTTCTCAGTTCTTTTACTTCTTTGGTTACGTTACCCATCGTTACCTTGGACTCTTCAAAGCCCTTATTCATAAATGTCATTGATTGGGACATTCCTTCCAGCTCTGTTTTGACACTGCTATTCATACTGTCTACTTTCATCGTCAGTTCAGTCAAAAGTTTGCCAGTTCTTTTACAATGCTAGGCTGTTTATCCGCCATACTGATTTTGTTGGGCGGCACAAGCTAACACTGCGGAATTCAGCAGGCGATCCACGCAAAAACAAGGAAGTAACGAAACGCAACAGTACCTGCAAGATATGATGCGTAAGTGTGCGTCCGATGCCGAGTGGCCTGGATCGCCCGCCAAAGTTTCGTGGACAGTCGTAGGGCGCCTCTTATATTGGGTTGGGCCAGGAAGTCGGGTGTCTTGCTATGGCCGGAAGTCGATGTCGTCAAGGGGTGTTTTCTTGGCAGCTCGGGCTGTTTCTTGCGTGACACGTGCCGAAGTCGGGATCCGTGTTCTTATCCAGTCACTGCAAAATACGATGCGTAAGTGTGCGTCCGACGCTGAGTTGCCTGGATCGCTCGCCAAAGTGAACTGCACGCGAGAAATTCAACTCCGACCAGAGTTTGGCACCGCGCCGTTAACGCGCGCCGCATAACGCCTTCAGAACGACCAAGACCTTGCTATTTTTACGCGGTTTACTCCTTAAGGGTGCTAGAGATCCCCGCAATTTACGGCTCAGGTTAGTTCTCCAAATACGCGCTTTCTAGCAGTTTTGAAGACAAGTCTTCCGGCTCCAAGAAAAAAAAAAAAAAAAAAAAAACTAAAGGTGAGGTGAGAGGTGAGAACAACGTTTATTTAAACCAAGGACAAACGCCAGTCCCCAAAGCGGGGGCCACGCCGGTCCGACACCACACAAAAGACAGCCCCCAGACATATTTGGGCGCGAGCCACCGCGAAATCCGTGCCCCGAATGGCGCGGGGCAACAAGTTCAAAGAGAAACTCGGCACGCGCCACCCGAACCACGAACACCGCGGCGACTCGCGTCCGCAGGCCATCCCCCGCACGATGAATGAGCAGTGCGACCCCAGCCCAAGGGACCGACGCGGCGTGGTCGCTCTCAAGCGTGGCGTCTACGTCCTTGGCGGCGTGAAATGATGATGTGTTTCATTATAACGAGGGCCCAAGTCCGCTCCGCCATACAAAGTCGAGGAGGGAAGCCAGGACCCTCGTCCGGCGCTCGGAGTCGCCGGCAGGATGCGCCCATTCTTTCATGGTCGTTGGAAGGTCTTCAGGAAGAAGAGTAGCCCAGGCTTCTTGACGCTGGGCAACCAGAGCTGCGCACTCCCAAATGAGATGGTGAAGTTTCGGGAGGGCATCTGGGTCTTTGCATCGCTGGCAGCGAGGGTCTGGTGGGACATAGTACGGGTCGAGTTTACGTTGCCGGGTCAGCTCGAAGCGATAGACATGATGAGGCGTGACCGCTCCACCTGTCCTAATGCGTCGAAGCAGGACCATCTGGTGCCTACGGAAGGTGTTTTCGGGTATTGGAAACTGTTCTGGGGTCCAAGAGGCGTCGAGTCGGCGTTTCCAGTCCCGACGGACGAGGCGAACAGCATCGACTGGGTCGTAGACGTAGGCCTCGTCTTCGGGAAACTGGTCATCGTTGGGCGACGCGGGAGGCACCGGTAAGGTCCGCTGGGAGGAGGGGAAATCTCTATGCAGCTCCTCCAATGCAGCCTTGTGGGCCTTCTCGTTGCCGTCAATTCCCGCATGTCCTGGAACCCAGCGTATGCTGACTCGGACTCTTCGATGGCGGTACAGGCGAAGTGCAGTGTCGTAAATAGCGGCAATTGTCGGACTTGATGTGAGTAGATGCGTTTTAAGCGCGCGAATCGTGCTCTGAGAGTCTGTGAACACCGTAAGCGTGCCGGGCCCTGGATTCCTGACCTCATACGTCTGGAGGGCGAGGAGGACGGCGCGGGCTTCGGCTTGTTCGGGCGATGAAGGGGTCATGTTGGTGTTTGCAACAACGATAGGATCGCGCTGTGCAGGATCATGGGACGGGAACACCGCAGCTGTCGCAGAGCAACCGGAGGTGTGCAGGGCAGCATCCATATACACGATGACCTATGCAGGGTCCTGAGATAATGCGGTGACCTCGGCTTGGTGTTGAC